ACAACGCTCGGCCTCATGTCGCAAAAGTCGTAAAAAAATATTTGGCTCAAATGGGATGTTTTACCGCATCCGACGTATTCTCCGGACATTGCTCTTTCTGATTACTGATTGTTCCGAAAGATATAGCACGATTTGGCAAGTCACCGGTTCATTTCTTTCGCAAAAATCGAAAATTGCCTCCAAAATTGGATCGCCTGCAAAGACAAGTCATTCTTTCGAGATGGAATTCGAAAATTGCCTGAGAGATGGGAAAAAATAGTAACCAGCGATGGACAATATTTTAATTAATCTGTTCATTCATTTTGTTTTGAAATAAATGTATTTTTGAACACAAAAAAACGGACCGAACTAATTTGTACTCCCAATATATTTTTAACATTTAATGTTTACACTTAAATATTATTAATGAGCTGTAAATTGACATTATACAATACTTTTTACCGTAAATAATAGTACTGTTTTTTTTTTGTAAATGTATAATTGCAAGATAAAATGTTTTCAATTATTCACAAATAACTTCCTATCTTTAAACTTTGAGGGCCTGTTCTAATCTAACTAAAACTTTTTAAGTTTCAATTTTTGTAGCAAAATTGAAAATTGAATATTTATTTCTGTAATATTTATATTGCAATATGCAATATTATTTATAATTGTAATTTTAATTTCAAAAATATGACAAATATATATTTGTCCACTTAATCCTAATATCTTCTTCATTAGAGGTATGACTTTCAATGTCTATCAATAACGTGTTTGTACTGGTACAATATTTATCGCGGAATGATGTGTTTTTTTGAGTGATCTTATCTCTTTTAAAATATAACAGTCCGTTAAAGAATTTGTCATACATAATTATACATAAACGGTTGTACATAATTTGTAACCGTTGTAAATAAGTTATGTAACCGTTTATGTATAATTATGTATGAAAAATATTTTACCGTGCTACTATATTTTAAAAGAGAAAACATCTCTCGAAAGACACGTCACTTCACGATGAATATTGTACATGCAAATGTGTTATTGGTACTCGTTATATTTAATTATAATATTGCAGCAAAAGTGTTAGTGGTAATCGTTGAAGGTCATGGCTATAATGAG